ACAAGATGCCCTTTCCTTTAGAGAGCGAGAAGGAGGATTTCTAATTGGAGAAGTGCCATACTGACCTGTTGGGCCATCCATGGAATGAAGACCAGGTGGGAGGAAGTAGCACTGAAAGAATTGAAATCCATCCAATTGCTAGAAGGAAGGGGATGGGCATTCAGGCTCCCACTGAAGGCAAGTCTGCATGGGGTTTTCTTTCCTGTGTGCTTGCGAGGCTGGCATGGGCTGATACCCTTTGAAGATGAAGAGGGAATGTGCAATTTTTGACAGATGTTTTTGGGTTTCCAAAGAAGAGAGGCCTGCAGCATTGGAGCCACCTGTTCTGCAGTTGGATTCTGAGAATAAGAACCTGGGATTTGAGATGCATGACCACATCTGCATGGTAATAATGGGTGGTACCAGGACATGATTCAGTACTAGAACTGAACATGCTGAAGCCACAGGAAAATATAACTTTTCACTTGTCTGAAAAATTAAGCTAAAACTAGACCACCATTTCAAGTTTCAGGGAGAAACCAGAAAAATTCAAGGTAAGATTCTAAAACGTTTTGAAAGCAGGTGCTATGATTACTTTGTAATCCTGCCAAACAACAAGAGTGAATAAGAGTTGCTGCATATATAAAAGAAGTAGCGATCTTCTCTTCTGAAGCTTTGCTCGGGTAAAAAGAGAAAAAAATCGGGAAGTGTTTGAAGCCATTGTCACTTACTGAAGCTCCCATCACTGCACTGGTAACAAAGCCTCCCAGTTCTTGTTTCCCTCAATTTCTAACTGATATCTCTCCTTGCGTTGTTTTATCTTTGCAATATCTCAGTACAGTATGAGACTTTTGCCTTGTGTGACTTCGAATTACAATATCTATACTGCAGGGAAGAATCCCTCTGTGAATGTGTGTGTGTGTGTGTGTGTGTGTGTGTGTGCAGGATGCTATTAATCTTACTTCAAGGATGAATGCATGATTTTTTTTTTCATTTAAACTGCTTATTTTAAGTAAAAACTTGTTCAAGTCAAACTCAATTCTTGGTGATCTATACAGGCACTTATATGTAGTTTTTTCAGTTCGATTCAGAACAGGCCTTTGCCTTCATCCAGGATTTTTTTTTTTTTTTAACTATCCCAGTATAGCTTATAGTCCTGATATTTTCAGATGGCCTCTTGTCCAAGTACTAACCAGGTTTAGCTTTTGAGATCTCAGAGATCCAAGGTCTTAACCCTTTCCCTGCTGCCAGCTTTAGTGCAAACTATATGGAAAGTCCCACACAGATCTTTATTTCTGAGTTTCCCCCTAGTGGGGAGGAATTAAATATGGCCAGTCAATCCCACTTGTTACTTCTTTTCACTGGGAAAACTTCATTTATCCCTATACCCTTATCCACATGTGCTATGAAATATCCAATTCATATAATACTGAAAAAAAAATAGTAGGTTGTTCTAAGTTTCTAATAACTTTCCCTAAGCCATTTGTTTTACATAATTAATCTGGGTATTTCATTAAGTGTCCAATAGACCTCTGGCTTAGTTGTGAAAAAAATACTGGACTCAACCAGTAGAATGTTCCTGCTTTGTGGAAATGGTTTAGAGAATGCTTCTGTGTCTACATGGGTAGAAGTTATATCTGTCAGCACTTTGGGAAGACCATGGAGCACTGTCCTCCTAACCCTGTTTGCTGAGAAGTAATTTCAACTAAGTCTAATCCTTCTTACTTTCTGTTAAGGGGGCTCCCAGATGAATGGTTGCTAGCCAGAAGGCTCAATCACTGCAGTGACTCAATCTTTCTTTTGCTTCTTTTAATTGAAAAAAAGTAAATTCAAGTAACAGGGAACATGCAGGAAGATCACAAACAGAAGATGATGTCACCTTGAACATCATACTATCCCATGAATGAGGCAGGAAAATTTCAGAAGATAAGCCTTGCCTGCAAGCATTCTGCCCCTGAGCTTGGTTGTTTTCTTGCAAACATTTTGTTACCTGGCTAGGTAACATCTTCAGTGCTAGAATGGGATGGGGTTTACTCTCTGTTTATATACGGTGGCATGCCCTGCCAGTGTTGGTGGGGGTGGGGGGTTTGTTTTGTTTTATTTTTTCCCTCTGGCAGGTCCTTGATTAGGGTCTTGTTTACTGCTTGATTGTATGCCTGGTGATTATCTTGGTGTTAAT